TGCTGTTCCCCAGCAGGACATTAGTGCTTTGAAGAATGGCATGTTTTCCTGGTATGCCTTTGATCCGAAGGGTTCCTGGATTTGCATCAAAGGACTGATCAGCTCCCGTGGCAGGTATTGGATCCTCTAGGTGTCTAAGTCTGGTTGAACTGAGGTTACAGTTCTTAATTTGAGAGCCCATTCATCACGGGAATATAAGAGGATTTGAGGGCTGTGTTTACAGCATAAATCAGAAGAGGTTGTAGGTGTGATCTTAACCTGTCAGAGGAGACACCTGAGAAATATTGCTGATGGCTTTATGTCTTTTTAACTTGGAGGGACAGGTTATGAACTGTGAAATATCATGTTTACTAAGCCAGTGCTTTGCTAAATCTACATCTTTGAGCCAGCGGACTTGAGATGGGAGTTGTGATTCTGAGGCTGGCTTTACAACTCAATGGTGTGCAAAGCATCTGAGAAAATGTAACAACACTTAATAAAGTTAACTGAGAAAGGTCAGCTGAACACTGTTTGTTGTAGCAGTGTATAAACCTCCCGGTAACATCTGTTGCCTGTTATTGTTATAAAAATGTTACTTCATTAGATCTTGGTTGGATCACGAATTAAGTAGTGATATGTGGTGAAGCTTGCAGTCACAGCAGGCTTGGGCAGAGAGCACATGTTGTGAGTCTGGCTGGTGGCGGGTGGCACTCTGGGGAGCCTCGTGGCTTGGGGGAATGGGAGAATGGAAGCCTTCTGCTTCTTCAGCACTGGTTGAAACCCAACTGAGGGTGGAAAGGATTAAATCTCAGCGCTGCCTGTGAACTGGCTGGTGCACTCAACAGGATGAGTTGCTGTGGCTCAGCCCAGCTCCAGGAAGACAGCTGTCTCCATCGCTGAAAGCACACCAGCTGACAGCACTGCCTGTCCCCCCCTGTTTGCTGTTTTGGCAAAAAGAAGTAGGACTGAATTGTTCGGGGTGAGAAATGAATGTCCTTCCTCCTCCTGGAGAAGTTTCTCTAGGGTAAGAGGAGAAAAGGCAGAAGAGTTTGAGCTCTGCCTTTCACACCGCTGTGGCTGTGCTCTGCTCGAGCGGACAGCAAATGCTGCAGCCAGCTGCACCGCCCGGCTCTCCTGCGGCATGGGGCAGCCCATCCCTGTCCCCCACTGTGCCTGCCAGCCTCTGAGGGTGGGAAAGTCACTGACGGCCTGTAGGAAAGTTACTGAAATCTGTTTTTCTCAGACAGCACCATCATGCCATCTTGCATTTCTTTGGCTACCATTAATAACTTTTTTCCTAGCTCTTGCTGTTAAGCTATTAACTTTGAGTGTTGCAGTTGAAATTAGTGTTTGATGCAGATTTACAATTGAAGTCACTTGTTCCTCAAATCTTGTACCCATTGAGCTGTAACCCATCTATTTTCAATGCATACCCAAAGCAATCAACTCCTCTGGTTTGTAGCCTCTTGGGTTTGTGGGTTTTGTATTCAGTGTAAGGAAAACCTGGGCATATTGAATAAAACCGGAATTATTACTATGTAAAGGATGTTTATCTATCAAGATTGGAATATCCTATGGGAAAAGATGTTTCCAGACAGTTCTTCCTGAGAAAAGCTCAGCCCCTACCAGTCCTTGCTGAATTATCTTGAAATTGTTGGGCTCTCAGTCCCTGTGAAATCCCAGCAGCCCTGAATCGGGCATCACAGACTCAGGTGCTCCTGACTCCCTCTGAAATATTTTTCTCATAATTCATAGAGAAGGCAGTCTAGATTGGAGACATTTATTATGATGGCGAAGACAGAAGTGATTTTTGAGGCCAACAAAGTTCAAAGACTTTGCTGTAAGTTTTCAGGATTAAAGATTTACTTGGTGCATCTTCCCATATTTAATAGACAGGAATAGATGAAAGGGAATTTCTATAAAGATTTTCGTTCATACTTAATGATGCTGCTATTAGATGAGCTTTGGCACTGTGTCCCAAGACATGAAGTTTTAAAACCAACCTTTTTTAAACATTAAATGACCTTTTTCATCCGCTAGCTTTAATAAATAAAGATTAGTTCAGCCTCATTACCTAGTCTGTTCTGGGGGCTGGTTTAATATTTGGTGAAACTAACTAGTGTCCCAAAGTGCAAGTGAACAAATTTTGCTGGTTTTCTATCACACGCCCTGCAGGGAGACAGGCAGCAGCAAAGTAGTTTGATTTGTGACTGGGGTCCAGGAGTCCTGCTGCCACCTCCACCCTGGGATTCTGGCTGTCCAGCTGCGTTCCTTTCTTTTCCAAACCCTGCTGCTTGCTGTGGGCACTTTCCCCTTCCTCGCACATGCAGCCCCAAGATGGGCTGTGAAGTTCACATTCCATCGGAGCTGAGTAGGGGAAGAAGGTTTGTGGTTTTGCTTTTTGTGTGGTTTGTGGGGTTTATGTTTGTTTGTTTGGGTTTTTTCCTCAGCTGTAGGGAAGTTTTCAAGATTTTCAAAAAGAAAAATAAAAGCCCCATCTTGAATAGACACCAAAAATCTTTATGCAAACATTTGTGCCTAGGTCGCCTGAGAAAATGATTTGAAATGCTTTGGGTTTGACTCTTTCATTTTGGAAATGTATTTAAATATACACTAGTGGAAGTGAATTTTGTTTGGAAACTGACATTTGAAGAATATACTTGGAAACATTGCCCAGTTTAGTGATTTTGAAGGTTTAAATTAGAAAATAATGAGTCTAAGAATGCTGACATACACTCTCCCACCACCGACCTTTAATTTCGCTATGTCAGCACCTGGAACATAGCAGCATTTTGTGATTTTCATCAGATTAAGTGCCTTGCTTTACCCTTTCCTGGAAGAAGGGCCATAGTGAAAAGATTGCACGCATCAAACAGTTTTGTGTTTGAGAAAGTGGAGCCTGTTCAGGACTTCTTCTCTGTCTGCTGCTGCTTTCCTACAGAAGTGGGGAGCTGAGCAAGCTGCTTGTTGGGGCACCTTAGTCTCCCAGCTTCTTTGTTAATTAAGAGCAGTCACCAGCCATTTCAATGTCTGAAAAAACCTCTGGTCTGTGCTCCTGGCCTTAGAGGAAAGCACAACCTTTTTTCTTGCATAATGGGATGAAGATTAACTGCCCTAGCGTTGCAGATAACGATGGTGCTTGTGTTTTAGCGGAGCAGAGGAGATGGTGTCGCCTCAAGGACTGGGAGTGTTTGCTGAGACATCTGTGCGTATCATACAAGAAGTATTGCTGTGTGTGTCTTTATCAGTACTTAATGCAGTTTAGCTCCCATAAAACTGGGAACAAGTAGGAAGAGGAGGACCTGTTGAGTGGATATCATTGGGATAGAAAGTAAGTCAGGGTAGCGTGGGCCACCTCTGCTTCACCAGTGGGTTTGGTACCTAGTTACCTTCCACAGCCTGGGTTAGGGCAGGACTGGGAAGCAGAGGTGCTCTGGAGTTTTGTCAGAAGAGAGGAGATCTCCCTGGGATGAGCATAGCAAGGCTGAGAAAAGAGCTCTGAAATGCGATGCAAGTTGAATGTTGAAATTGGGCTGTGCTTTGAGATTTGGGTGGGTTCAAAGCAAGTCTTAGGGAAGGGAAAGCCAAAGTAAAAGGAGCCTGAACCCAAGACAGGTTCCTTCATTCGGCTGGGCTGTGTTGGTGGCAATGCACTGGGGGAGGAATGAGGACCTTCAAGGCACAAACCAACCCTCTGAGGAACATGTTCTCAGTCCCACCTGCAGCACAACACCACCGTGCTGCTTTAACAGTGGTCCCAGTTAGCTACGTCTTCAAAATGTCTGTATCCTTGGACTCTGCTCCTAGCCCTTGCTCTTAGGGAGGGGGGATGCCTCCTGTTGAGAGCTGATGTGCTTTACTTCAGCTGCAGGCTGATTTATGTGCTCCGCTGTGGTTTTACCCATCTGAAAAAAAAACCACCAAAACAACAAAAAAAACCAAACCACAAAACAAAGTCAAACCTGCTGCAGCACAATGACATGTTTAAAAGCTTCAACAAGGCACCTAGCTGCTGTATTTAGTTCCCTATTTCCCTGACACACCAACCAGCACAGCCCACTAATCTCTGCTTTGCTCACCAACGTGGTGTGGGGCTCGAGTCGGCGCTGAGCTGTGGCTCCGTCTACACCTGAGCAGTTCTGAATGGTATTGCTCTGGAGTGATTTTTGGGGAGGTAAGATAAGCGTTGGTGCCTTTCTAAATATACACAACAAAACCCAATGCTGCTCTTCCCCAGGTATGACTGAATAGCAGCATTCTGGGAGGAGACCTCCTATTAGCAAGGATAAGCCCACCGGGCTGCAGAAGCTGTGCCAGCGCATAATGAAAGGCTGTGATTAATGCTCGGCTCCAATTTTTTTTTTTGCCTTCCGTCAAGAAAATAAAAATAATACCCCACACTATCTCCCTCTGCCTAACGCAGATTTGAGTGGGCAGGCCCAGGAGCTGAGTTCAAGAGTCAAGTGCTTTCTGTTTGAAAAATATTTGTCCCTCCCCACCCACGGCTGCCCACATGCTTCCTGAAATATTCCAGCTATCAGCACCATACCGGCACTTTCTCAAACGAGCAAACCAAGGCTATCTGGGGACATTGGGAAAGGAGGCAGTGCCCAAATCCAGGCTGCTTGGGGCTGCACAGCTGGATGTCCCTCTCCAGGAGCACCCAGGGCGAGCGGGCGGATGCTGGTGCTGCTGTGGGTGCTGGGCACCGCCAGGACCGCAGCAGCGTGGGCAACCGTGTCGTGCTGCAGTGCGACGACAGGTAACACTGCCACTGCTGCAGAGATTTCACCACCCACGTGTCTGGCAAGACCTGGGAGGTGGGCGAAGCGGCGGGAAAGGCCGTGTGTGGGAAGGAGGATGCGCTAACAATAACGGCAGCAGGAGTGCCAACGCCATGGCTGCTTGCGTGGCAGCGGGGATCCCAAAGGGGTGCTGGGGACAGGGGGGATGGAGGGGTGCACAGAGCCAAGCTGGGTCCCTGCCAAGCCTAACTGTTGCCAACACCTTTGCTCCTGCAGCTGCCATCCTGGATGACCCCATGGAGTGCAGCAGAGGGGAGAGGCTCTCCATCACCCTGGCCAAGAACCGCATCAACCGTGCGCCCGAGCGGGCGGGGAAAGCCAAAGTGGAGGTGGACATTTTTGAGCTGCTGCGAGACAGCGAGTATGAGACGGCAGAAACCAGTAAGTACCCTTCCACGTAGCTGGTCTTTCCCCAGATCTTCTCTCTGCCAGCTTGCACGAGGTGGCTGGCAGACTGCGCTTGCTGCAGAGGATAATTGTGTGATAGTCAAGGGGGGTACACAGGGTAAAAAGCACCTCTCTGCTCCTCTGTCAGCACTGGAGGGATAACATGTGCTAGCGTGAAAGTGGGTCTCTGCAAAGCCCCAGACCTGCCCTGGCTGCCAGAGAGCAGTCAGGTTTGGTACAGAGGTTTGGTACGGTCTGGATGCAGGCACAGCATCCCCTCGGGAGGTGCGTGGGACCTTCAGCAGCACTCACGCTGTGTTCAGCACCAGCCACGCGTTTGCAGGGGCTGACCCTGCCCGGTGCATCCACCACCGGGGCACAGTGGCACGTAAGCAGAGATTAGGCTCAGACGGTGAGTGCTGAGACCAGTTTTCATTTAAGGGTTTGGCATAGTGGTGTGAAATGAGCCCTGGCATGGACTGAGAGGATCTGGGTCCTCAATGAGCTTTGTCACCATTCAGCTCAGCGGCTTGGGACAAATTATTTTCTTTAATCTGCGTGTCAATAACCAGAGGTAGTGATACACGAGGTGATGCTCCTTTGTAAAGTACTTAATGGTGTGCAAATAGGAGACTCTGGGCAAGTTCAGAGCAATTAAGTTATTTTTAAAACCCCACAGAATGCCACGTGCCAGCAAACTTGATAGCTCTTCCAGTGCTTTAGATTGGCGGTGGGTTTGTTTAAACAAAGTGAGGTTTTCAAGTGGTGTTTAAAATCATGTGGATTAAAAAGGGCTAATTTTGAAGGAGCAGTATACTTTCCATGTTGCTTTGAAGTCCCTTAATGCAATCAGGTCTATACTGCAGGTGTTCCTCTAGATGCCTGACATGTCAGCCACATGCTGATGAATAAAAAGGAATTGATGGTCAGTGTTCCACAGATCTCTCAGGAGCCCAAGTGAAAGAAACCGAAAAGATCTATAATAGCTTCTTCCTGTAAGAGGGAAAATCCTTTGGAATAGGATAGCTTCCCTTTAGGATAATTTTTAAGATGACCTTTAGAGATCAGGGGAGTGCTGTAATTTTTTATTACAAGCTGGCTTGTAAAAGCTGGAGAAATCCTTTTAAGTAATCGGGATTTTAGACTTGTTTCCCAATGGTTCTCTGTACCAAGCCTGTGTAATCTGCAGGGTATCCCAGAAAGCTGTGGTGGGTTGTGGTGGTCTAGAGTGGGCTGGTTTTTCACGCAGCTTTGGTTTTGATTCTGCGCAGCACTGAGCATCCCTGTGCCTGGGAGGCCCCATGGAGCCGTATCTGGTGCTGCTCAGGAGCAGGGCTCTGGGTAACTGGCAGAACGGGCTCAACAGGCCTGTGAGATCAGCAGATTGCTCCTTCATTTCCTGAATTAGTGCTTGCATTATTTATAGAAGCGTTCAGCTAATAAAGTGCATTTCAGCAAGTACCTGTATGTCTATTTATAGAGCCTGTCACCCGTGCAGCAGCCCAGGTTAAGAGCATCACATCCAGCATCACAGGAACTGTTTAAAACAGCAGTTCTCCACCTTTCTGGATCCCTCAGCTCTTTTGCCTTTTCCTGGTCTCTCCCATCTATTCGGGATTGTGCACATCTTGCTTTACCCTCATTTGGCACAGCAATAGGGGAAATCCAGTCTCACTGGGCAGGCTGCGCAGAAGGGACGGGGACTGCCTGGCTTTCCAAGTGCATTCCCAGTTTACCCCTGAAAGTATCCCAAATCTCCCAGCAAGCCTCCTCGGAAATGAGAAGATTGCTTGCTTGCCTGAGCCCTTCTATGTCTTTGGAAGAACCAGTAGCATTTTTATTTCCGTTCTTGTTCCTTTCTCATCAATCTTCTGCCTGGAGCAGTGTTTCTGTTGGTTAACTTTGCTCGGGAAACAGGCTCGATTGCCAAGTGACCGCAGAGCTGCCGTAAAGATCGTGAGCGGGCTTGCTTTCTCACTTGCATCCCTGTAACGCTGCTCAGAAATTTTCTGTTGGGATGTTTTTCAAGCAGAAGAATACTAATTTGCTGAGAATTAAGTATTATGCAAGAAATTGTTGATTTCAGCAAGTGTGGTGTTTGGGGAGAACATGGAAATGGGATAAGTGAGGAAGAGGCAATCTTCCATTTCGAATTTTCACCTCAGGGTGATTTTCTTTGTTTTCTTTACTCTGACTTATAGAATGTAAAAAGTAGAAATTGGAGCAAACTGATCTGATTTTGGTGAAGTGAGTATTCACATAAATTTGCAATATGTTATTCGCTTTTTCTTCAGATTGAAAAATGTCTTGAAGCGTTTCTTACAAAAGGAAAAATCTGGATTCTGCATGGCTCTGGTATTAAGTTGTTCTTGATTTATGCTGGTAGCAGAGGAGAATCAGATCCTTTAACTTAAATTTCAAGGCTTTCATGGCTTTCAAATGTCTGACTTCTCAGCTTTAATACAGCACTGATATTTGTTATCACATGTAATATTAATAAAAGCAGTTTAGCTGGTTTAACCTATGACTGCAAAGCTGTTGTATATCTGTTTAATTCTGTTCCCAAATTTCATGCCCTTTGAAGCACCCTTAAATATCACAGCTAGCATGCTTAGCTGACTGATCTAGGATCGCTGTGATTACACCCCATCGGTGATACTCTGTGCACAATTAGTGCTTCAAGAGAAGAAAGACTTTTTGAGTTAGTTTTTATTTCAGTGTTGAGCTATTTTTCTTTCTTTTTTCCTCCTGACTGACTCAGGCGTCTTCCTGTTAGGGGGCCACAAAATCACAATTGCTACAGCAGGTAAAATATGAGTCAGTCTTAATCACATTCACGCATGATTTGCTATTTCAGCCTTATATATGAATGAAGACAAACACTGGCTGTTTCCGTATGCAGCATCTCTGAAGTCCTGTGTTTTGGAATGAGTTTGCAGTGAAAGGTTAGGGATAGAACTTTTTTGTTATTATAAGTAAAGCCTGTTCTCTCTTTGTGTTTAATGCTTCAACTCCTGTTATGGAGATCCAAAATGACTCGTTTAATCATGTCTTTATCTAAAACGCCTTATTCCTTTTGATGTCCAGGGAGGGACAGATTTTCTACTTGTCGCCCTGTCCCCCTAACATCTCATCAGTCTTTTAAGCATCTTTTTGTTGTCAATCCAAACATCTCAGGGCAGGTCAGCAGTCAGAGCGACCAAGCAAGCATCTGAAGGATTTTTAATTTTTATTGATTCACACCAATATTTCAAAGTGCCTGATATATCTGGTCAGTGAAATTGGCTCAAATGTGCTATGAACTCTCCCACCATTTTTGTGATCCTGTTGGATTTCACAGTTAAGCAAGTGCTTGTCTGAATCCGCAGTGCCAGTGAGGGTAGCAAGGCTGAGCCTTTTCTCCCCGTGGAGGCTAACAGCATCAGGGAATGTTCTGCAACAGAGGAAATGTGTTTGGATTACAAGAGAAGAAGCTTTCCAAACATTGTTGAAACCTTTGCCTCAGGCACCTCCACTCTGTTTCCATTCATTTTCCTTAATTTTACTGGATGTTTCACCCTTGTAGTGATAAGCCAGGTCTTCTTCTTCTGACAGTTGTTGCAACTCTGTTGCTATGACTACTTAACCCACTTTTTGTTCTTGATACCAGATATGAGAAGAAAAGTGCTCACCAAACTTTCCCCTGCATGCACGACAAAATTCCCCCCAGGACTTTTGCCCTAATGCCCTGGGGATGAAGAGGACTTGGAGCAGCCCCTTCCTCCTAGATGCTGAACTGCAGAGCACCCGAAGGGTCTCCTGCAGCTGAGAGGGACTCACAAGTGCTGCTGAGATAGCATGTGAGGTTTTCAAATTGCTGGTGCTCTTATTTCAAAGGAGCTTCTGAAGAGGTGTAAGTGCCTGTAAATTTTTAAGCACAGAGGAAAAGCAAGTGCTGGATTCCTTTGAAGATGCCGCAGAAAAATATCCCTCATTCTGTAGCAGATGGAGATGGTGGAGGGTGAGGGAGCATGGCAGGAAGGAAAACCCAAGAGAAGATGTTTGCGTCTCATCGGTACTCTCTGTAAGAGGTCAGAGCAGTCAGTATGTATCGGGACCTAGTAATATGTGGAGTTTTTTCTTCAAGTAGCACTTGGTAAAGCCAATTCCCCAAAGTGACAAACTAAGTCCTCAGCTTTTGGCCTCATATTCCACTCATGAGGCTATGGAGACTTATGAAGTCTAAGGCCAGAGATCACCGCCTTCATTAGCTAATCTTCTGCAGAAAACGGACTGTTCGCTTGTTGAATGCTACACTCAGCCCCATAACTCGCTGTTCTAAAAAACCCCCAGCACAGTATAGGCTCTAGTTTCACGTCCAGTCTTGATTTAAAGGCTTGAAGTTGACAGGAAACCTGCTCTGATCTGTAGCAACAGTTTTGATGATGAATTCCCTTCACTACAAAAAATATGTTCTGATTTTGATTTTTCTATCTCCTTTTTTCCAGCTGAGTCTAGATAACTTTTTACAACCATCACAAAAGCTTGTCTGTTGGGGTAGCCAGGGACCCACAGTGAGGATGGGGCTCTGAAACAGGCCAGCCATTTGATACTGAAGAGGCAACTATCTATAAAATCTCAGCTTTGTGATCCGGTGGTTTAGTTTTTACATATAAAACCATTGTGAGCTTGCTCTTGCCAGAACTGATAAGTAGCTGGGGTGCCTCCTTTCTCCCCTGTGGTATCCTCTTTCTTCAGCAAGCAGTCACTTGGCGCCAGTTGAGCAAATGTGGCTTTGTCTGTCCGGGAAGAAAGGAGGAGTGTGCATGGCCATGCTGAGGAGGTCTGGTATTTCAGAAAAAGCTGTGGCCAGCACATGCTCAGATGAGCCTTTCAGAGTCAGGGGATTCAGGCACGAGGGGCTCTTGCCTTCTGTTCGCGAGGCTTTGCCTGCACAAGCTGCTCTGGAGGAGCGTTTCTGAGCGCTGTGGTTGATTGGGATGGCAGCGGGGAGGTGACACCAGCTGGAGTAGTCCTTGGAGTGCCATTCGGCTAAATTTGTGCTGTGAATTAAAAGGACAAAAGGTTGCAGTTTAACCCAGAAAGCTTGAGGGATGAGATTTAACTTCTTCATTTTGTCAGGGTCTTTTTATTGTTCCGCTAACCTTGGTGGCATGGAGCCAGAAGATTAACTACTGCCAGGAAAAAAAAAAACAAAACAAAACCAAATGCAAATGAAAAACAGTAACATGATTCTTATTATTACCACTGAGCTCTGTAGAGGATGGGGGAAGAAATTCATACGAGTTTGTTTGCTGCTAGGTGATGCTTTGAAGCTAGGTCAGGGCTGTGTTTAGCATCTTCCATAAACTTTAGCTAATGTTTTATTATAGGAAATGGGGCCAAGAAGGGATGTTCTAAGAGAAAAACCCCAGTTCTGAGTCAGAGATGAGGATACTGGGGCTTTGGGCGTTCAGATGGGATTAGAAGGGCTGGGGAAAGACAGTGAGGAGGGTGCCACAGGCAGGGTGACAGTGCTTCAAAAGCAATAGAGGGATTTTAGGGAGACATAAATGGCAGGGAGTATGTTGTTTGAAGGAGATGATTCTGTGTCTTTGGTAAGGTGCAGAAATTGAGGATGAAGTCTAATGCGTGTTTCCTCTCTCTGGTGCCTGCAGTGTGCCAGATTCTCCCAAAAGGAGTGGTAGGCGTCCTGGGACCTTCCTCAAGCCCAGCCTCCAGCTCTATTATCAGCAATATCTGTGGGGAGAAAGAGGTAAGTGGAAAAGTTCCGTGGTGGAGTAAGTCTACGACCTTGTGCTGAGTGACTTGGCCCCAAAGCCCTGGCGCCCAGCAGCTGCCCAGGGCTGGGGGGTGATGCAGGAGCCCTGGCTCCTTCCTCCCAGCAGTTCCTGGCAAGCCTGGGGAGAGAGGGCAGCTGCCCGCCGTGGGTAAGAAGCACCACAGAGATCCTGACCCGTTCCACAGCCCTGCCTTCTGCACATTATTCTTCAAAGCGAAGGTGCTCTCGGTGGGCTCCGATCACAGTAGTGCTTCCCGCTGGCTCCTGCCTGGTGCCGGGGCTCCCTGGGAATGCAGCATTTTTGCTGGTGATTTCAGAAGTATGGATTAGGTTTTTTAATTTACCACTATACCGAGCAGCAGTGCCTTCTGTGCAGAAGGGCTTTCTGCAGCCTTGCAGGCTTTCATCTGAGGCTCTCGCATCGATGCCAAGTCCCAGCCCCAGCCGCACAGCTCGCTGCAGCTTCCAGCCCTGCCTTACGCTGCCTTTGCCCTTCCCTGCTTCTGCCTCTTGCAGTTCTTGTTCAAGTCTGGTGCTCTGTTTCTGAGTCATCGTTCCTGCACACCTCTCCACCCAGCTCCCCAAACCCTCTCGAGCTGATGTCCACGTGCCTCACCATCTGCAGGGCATTGAGTCCTTGCGTCCCAGCTGCGAGGCAGAGCAGGGATGTTACCCCCGTTATGCAGGGGCAGTGCAGTACCTGCCTGTGGTACTCCAGGGCATCCTGAGCAAAGGTGACTTGCTGTAGTCATCATACCTGCCCTCTCATCCTTCCCATGATCTGCCATGGCTGCTGTGAGCAGAGCTGACAGCTTGGTTTGTCACCCTTTTTCCTAATGCACGTATTCTTGCAGCTTCTTCATTTTCCATTTCCTGTCTCTCTTCTGCCTCCCTTGTCCATGTTTTCATCTGTATCACCTGTTACTTCAGCTTCCCTCACGTGCAACACTGATGGGAACCATGTCCATGAGGAGTGCAGAAACCTCAGCTTGCCCTGGTGGATGCACATCCCAGCCAAGTTCCTGGGTGTGATGTTACTTTGCGCACATACTTGGAACGCTGCACCCCTTTCTGTTTGCTGCTGTTCCATCAATGCAAACCCTTTTTATCTGTGCCCAGACTATGTGCCTGATTTAATATTTTATAAACCTTGAACCATCTTACACTGATCTGGCTCTGCTCTCGGGAAAAGAAATTGAGTTCTCTTCTCATAGTTCATCCCTTTAAAGCCAGATAACATCTCTCAGCCATTTAGCAGAATCTCTCTGGAGCCCAGCCTCCAAGGAAGGGAGTGCCTGGAACCGAGCACTGTAAATAACTTGCTTTCACAAATGGCTGCTGTTCTTTGTTCCCAGAGAATCAGAAGCATTGAAGAGATGGAAGAGATCTTTTAGACCTAGTGCTGTGGGCTACAGCAGGATGGGTCTCCAGTGTTTTATAGTGCTTTCTCCAGTTAAATATCCCAGACATGTGCTCCATCCCAGGCAAAGGCAGCTCTGCAGTAACAGATTGCAAGTGTTTTCCCCCTGAAATTCATATTCAGCCTGAGTCTCTGATCTAAGTCTCTTCATTTTTTTTTCAGAAATGAAAGGTGAGTGCTAGTGCACTTCTGAGGTATTTGATTCTCAAGCTTGATGTTGGCTGCCCTCCTAGTGATGTAAATCTGCAGTAACTCTCTGTGCTTTGTGTCACAGTAGCATCAGCTGGTGCTGCTGTGTTAAACGTGACACAGCAACCCAGCCAGAGCCGTTGTACTTGCAGCCATCCGTCAGGTAGAGCAGAGTGTCCCCATTTTACCGCTGAGGCACCAGATGCTGGAGTGACTGGCCTGATGTTCACCTGTGGTATAACTGGGGGATGAACCTGTGTCTCCTGCCTTGCCTTACCCCTCTAATGGTTTGGCCCAAAGATTTCCGGAGCCACGATCAGCTCTGGACACTTGCAGGAGCTGCCGTGGTGGTGCCTGCCTTCACCTCTGTCTCCATCTCTCTCTTCTCGGTTAGCAGTTGTTGCTGCAAGTCTCAGACTCCATCTGGCTCCCAAGAGTGATCGGCACGCTTGTGCTGGAGCTGCCTTGTCTGCTCTGGTTAAAGGAATTTGCCTTTTGCTTCTCTCCGTGTTAGCAGAGCCCAGGATCAGGGCTGCAGAGTGAAATCAAGGCAGATAACAGCTTATTACTCTAACTTTCCTCTTGCTAACCAAACAGCTTATGCTGTCAATGAAGCAGCCATCACAAGCTACTAATAGCCTTTCCCGAGAGGAGAGAGGTGGGAGGCATAGGATGATAGCTTCCGGAAGGACTAATAATGGAGGAAAAGGGGACTTGACACTCCTCTAATGAAGCAGAAGCAGATGTTTCCCTTTCTCTGTCTTCTATTTCTTCCAAATAATTCACTCAGCAAAAGGAAAACAATATTTCTTCTCCGTATTTGGCTGAACCCCTGGTGTCTGAGCGTGACCTGCCTGCCCACCCGTTCTCCCTACACCAACTGCCCGGTGTGCAGCAGAGCTGCCTCCTGTGCGGCTCCCCTGCTCCCCCTTCTCCCCATTCCCTGGGAAACGGCATCCCGCTCCCGCCTCCTGCTCCCCTGTATTAATGACATGTGCAGCGTTATTAGGACTCGCAGTTACGGTCCCGTTGGAGCTTGCCTGCCGTACAGCCACCTGTTAGCTCTCTGCTGATCAAAAAAGCCCAAAGCTTCTGGCTGCTGCATCTGTTCCTCTCTCTCCTGAGCCTTGCCAGCGCAGGGTCATCTTGTTCTTCCCTTCATCTCTCCTAATTACCTGACAACACATCGGTTCTGCAGGCAGAGGTGGATTTGCAGCACTTCATCCATCTAGCGCCCAGCCAAGGTCTGGGGGTCTCCAGCATGGGCTGTGTAACTCCTGCCTGCCTGCAAAGCAGCCTCCGTATTTTCCCAGGCAGTAAGCCCGAAATGAAGTGTGGGCCCAGCTACAATTAGTGCCCAGGCTAATTAGGTTGAACTCATCCGGAATGGTTTCCTGTGCTGTAATCACAGCCCCTGTTGCCTTTCTCTGAGTGGCTCAGCAAGACTTCCTGATCCACTCCTTCGCATGGCTTCTTGTTGCTGTGATAATTATTTTCCTCTGCTCTCGCACAAATCCCACCCTCTTCTCTCCACTCCGGTGATGCTTCTGCAGTTTTATTGGGATATTTTACTTTCTGCCTGCTGTGCATTTCACACCAAAGGTCTTTTATGGTAGATTTACTTGTTTTTATTTCTTTTTCCGCTTTAATTATGTTTTCTTTCCCCTCCTCCCCACTTAGGTTCCTCACTTCAAAGTGGCGCCAGAGGAGTTCCTGAAGCTGCAGCTCCAGCGGTTCACCACCCTCAACCTCCACCCCAGCAACACCGATATCAGCGTGGCCGTGGCAGGAATCCTGAACTTCTTTAACTGCACCACTGCCTGCCTCATCTGTGCCAAAGCTGAATGTAAGTCATTGCCAGGCTGGGTTTGGCTGCCCCTCTGCTCCCAGTGCCTTCTGTTCTCTCTCCTGCTGCCGGTTTGGTGCCTGTTGGAGAGGGTCCCACAGGCAGCGTGTGGCATCCCAGGGTTCATCTCACCTAGTTTGTGGTGGCAGGGTCTCTTCTGGTGCTTAGAGCAGCTCAAAACAGCGGAGACCTGCAGGGCAGGTTTTCCACCCTGTTGCTCCATGGAGGTGTTCGTGGTGTTTGTGAGAGGAGGAAAGGGGATGGGGAGAGACTCGCCTGCCTTCTGTTTGACAATCTGAAGAGTGTTTTGCTTGCACAGATGGGTTTTTGAAATGAAAAAAGAAGGCTTAGGCTTGTTTCTGGAGATTATTTTAGGCAAGTAAAGCTTTTTGAAATATGTCTTTCCCAAACCCATGTGCAGTTTGTGGCTTAAAAGCAAGATTTGATTAATAGTCAGTACACTGCACACCCCCTTGGGCTCTGCAGCCATACATCTGCTGGTAATTGTGCATCTGGATGCTGGAGCATTCACCTCAGCAAGACCATATTCATCTCTGCATAACTCTCCTAACATGGCAGAAGCAGGCTCTGCATCGTAGTGGTCAGAGGGAGTAAAGTGTGTCCTGCGATTTTTAAAGCCAGCGTGTAGGTTAGTAGCTCATGTGAGTAGCCACACCTTTTTTGCTTTTATTATCCTGTTTCCAAATTCATTTGCAGTAGAGGTTGCCACACAACCAAGCCTAGAAGAGGGGCTTTGAAAAGGCAGGTGGGTCCGGTGACAGTTTTGGGGACACTGGCAAGAGCTCAGCAGTCTCTTACCAGGTACAAAGGAAAGGCAGCATCCTTTCCAGCTTCACGTAGGAGCACAAGCCCTTCTTTTCCCTTAGGACAAGCAGTGCTCCTAAGCACAGTCCTTAAACCACTAACTCAAGGCATTTTGGGCTTTCAGACGGTTCCCTAGAGGCGACTAAGGGGAGCATATGAGCTGTGTGCTCATCAGTGGGGAAATGCTGTTTTGAGGGATGTTATTATTTAGATCCCAGGAGGGAAAGTCATAGCTCTTTTGGTTTAAGTACAAGGCTGTGTGATGGGACTCCTGGGTCCTATCCCATCATGCTCATACTATCACTGTAAGGAGACATATCCTCTGGGGACTGATTGTAATTTCTTCTGGCAGAAGCAGAAAATGACCCTCAAAGTCAATGGACTTAGGCCAGCCTAAACCTAATGCAGTGGTGACTAGAGTAAGGTTGTGTGACTCAGTTTCTCTGCAGTGTGCAATAGTGTCCCCGTAGGACTGCTGGAGCAGAGCATCCTTGTGCAGCCTCTCCGCGCTCGGTGGTCCTCACTTTAGTAGTTCAAAGTTGCCAGGAGGGGTCTGCAAGCCCTTGCTCGTGTTCAGCCTGTGCAGCAGCCTTCTGAAGTGCCAGTCTGTCAGCAGCAGCACCTCGCATCCTCTTGTCGTCAGACAAAGGGGAATCTCTTCAGATAACAGAGACTTTCCTCTGCATGGCAAGAGGAGCTGCAAGCTGAGGCTCCAGGTAGGATCTAACATGCTGGAAATTATAATTTCCTTGAGCCAGAGGAGGAGATCAAGTGCTTTCTTTTTTTCCTGGTCCCATTTCCTCCTCTCTGTGCCTGATGTGCTTTAGAAACATAGCAGCTGGGCTCTGCCTTCCTCACCGCAGAGGCCAGGGTGGCTCTGTGACCTGGGCTCGTGCCCCAGGGAGCTGTGGGCTGGGGGAGAAGGCAGCAAGAGACGCAGATGCAGTCATCAAAGAGAAAAACAGAGAGGAAGCTGCGGGTCTGATGTGAATCACAAACTCACAGCAGCTGGCAGAGGGATACTCTCCAGTTTGCAAGATTAACTTACCGCTGAGATATACAACCTTTGGCTTTAAGAAGCAGGATCTGATTTTATTTCTGTGGGAAGTTAAATAGAAAAGGTGCATTTCCAAAGGAGACAACTGAAGATTTCCTTCCAGATGCCCACACCTTTCTGTGAATTTCTGTCCCCTTGAAAGCCCACGTCATGGTGTAAATCTGGGCTTCACCCAGCAGCACAGTGGTGTGCAGAGTAGCACAGCTTTTCCTTCTCCTTCAGGTCTGTCCAAAGCCCAGTGCCGCAGAGCCACGGTCTCTGGCAGTGCCCCGTACCGACTGCAGTGCAAGCGCTGCCTGCTGCCAGCCCCTGCTTTACTGCGATGTTTGCCTGGGAACACTTGCCAGGGGCAGAAGTATTTTTATGTTCAGTTTTATAAAGTTAGTTAAGTTAGTTAAGTGCTCTTAAAATCTTCCGTGGTTTTGCAGCAGCAGATTTTGCTGGGATGAGCTGTAAGTAAACTTGGTATTCTGATGACTGTTACTTGCAGCAGCCTCTCTGGTCCCTTCAGATGTGGAATAAGGTGAAAATAAACCTTGCAGGGGTCAAATAGAGGGCTTAGGTAAAATTTCTTGTTCACTTGTGCTAGCACACAAAAAAAGTGTTCAGGTGAGGTTTAGTCCATGTGTCCTGTACACAGGGTGAATTCACTGTCTAGTGAGAAAGAAAAAGAAGCTGGTGTGATCCAGAGAATTGCTGGCCCTGGCTGGTTTTTTAATTCCCTTGCGGAGTTCCTACCTGTACTCAGAGAAAAGGTAAGAGACAATGCATTGTAAAGAGCTAAGTGCAAACTTAGCTTGCTGAAACACTCTCACTGTGAATGAGAGGCTCCTCATCTTGGATGTATCCCTTTTAATGCACTGCTTTGTTACCTTTGTGAAGTGCTGGGAGTCCTTGAAAGCAGCGCTCTCTAACGCTAATCACATCGCATTGTATCGCTCCCCTGGCCCCTGACCTCCTGGTGAATGAGCGGTTTCACGCAGCAGAAAGTACAGTTAGGTTAAGAGTAGAGCCCTGCCTTGAGGATGGGTTTTGCTCCTCCGCCAGCTGGGACGTGATTCTGCTGATAGTTCTGTTCTTTTTAGTTTCCTTCAGTTCAGCTTTCCCTTTTCTTTTTGGATTGCCTTTCTGCAGGGACGGGATGTGGGACCGTGCGAGCTGTCAGTGTCTCCCTAATGGTTACATCTGGTGCTCTCTCTGGTCAATCAGACTTGACAGGAGGTTATTTCCTAATGAAACTCTGCAGCTGGATAGAAGAGACAGACTCTATCAAATATGCTTTCTTGACTAAGAAAAGCTGCAGCAGGAGCTTTGACATCTTATTAGACATCAAGGGGTTGTGTTGGAAGGAGCCCTTGCAATGACGTAGCTGCAGGAAAAAACTTAGTCTAAAGTGCTGAAGGCAATAGGGCACTAGTCCAGGGACTGGTCCATGTGGGTGCTCACTAACTATTGCTTCTTTCTTCAGCTTCTGTCTGAAGGGAGAGCCAGGTCCTGTGGGCTGCATGGGGAGTGACAAAGTAGCCTGAGCCCTGGCTCTTCCCCATGGCTGATCGTGTCCAGACGCTGCCCGAGGAGGCAGAGGGGGGTGCTGGGATACCCAGAGGGCTCCGTGGGGGGGGGGCTTTGATGTGGAGGTGGAAGGTGGGTCTCCCAAAACCTTCCCCAGTGCCGGAGCCACTGGACTGCAAACACTTGTCCTACTTTACTCGCTAATTTCTCCATAAAGCACAAAATACACGGTGTTGGTTTTGTTCATTTGTTTTGTTTTGGTTTGTTTTTTTTTTTGTTTTTGTTTTTATTATAGGTTTCTGTGTTGCTCTAGGAATCCCCATTCCACAAGTGATTCTGCACTGTGCTAGGACCATACTCACAACTGCTTTTGCAGTTTTTTTTAATGTAAGCCTAATGTTGTATTCTTGCAATGATCTGTGCTTTGTCTGACTCACGGCAGAGCCTTCCATCCCCAGGGACACGAGCCCTTGGAAGAGAGCAGCTCCCATCAGAGTGCTCCAAGAGCTCCTAAGTGTACAAGCTGTGCCTTGCAGGCTGCTTAGCTTGTGAGCTAGTGATGCACAGGCTTAGGAGGAGAAACCGGTGGCACCCAGAACAACCACGCATGCAGGAAGATAACGGAGGACTTGTCTGCACTCTGGGGTCCTGAGTGAATTTGTATCAGCGATCTTTTCTCTTCCCAAGAGGCCTTTGGGGCCAGTTTTTGCCCAGAGGACAGATGTTCCCCATTCCCTGCTGGCCCAAGCCTGTGCTGCAGCCCCAAATCCTTTCCTTTGCAGCACACAGACACACAACTGCAGGACTGCTTCCTACCGAGGATGGTTGTGGGCCATGAGAGAAGCGCTTCTTGAACCAAGCATAAAATGTAAGGGTCTGGCTTTTTCTCTCTTTTATTTTAAGGCCTTTTAAACCTAGAGAAGTTGCTTCGGCAGTTCCTCATTTCCAAGGACACTCTCTCAGTTCGGATGCTCGATGACAGCCGGGACCCTACCCCTCTCCTGAAAGAGATCCGAGATGACAAAACAGCTACCATCATTGTACATGCCAACGCTTCCATGTCTCACACCATTTTGCAGAAGGTAAGTGTCTATTAAGTGTCGCAATTGTACACGTGGTGGTTTCCACTGAACGAGATGCTGGGTGCAGTACACAGGCATGCACGTGCAGGTGTTCTATGATAATGGTGTGTAAAAATGCCTGCAGCAATGCTGGAAATTGTCTCTGCTGAGAGGGGAATCGCCACTGATGGAGTTTCTGGGGAAAATAATTTGCTCTCTCTTTCCAGGACTGTATCTGTAGAAGCAGCGGTTTAATTGCTCTGAGCTGATGTGTTTGCTTTCTAGAAGTGGTGCATGCTTGTGGCTCCAGTTGCCATCAAACAGCCGTGGAGGGCTGCTTAGTGCTCTGAAATTACTCAATCAGAGCAATGTTTTTTTCTTTTTTTTCTCCAAATGCATTCCTAACTTTTTACTTCCTTTTTTTCCTCATATTAACCAAGATTTTATTTTAATCATGTTTATTTTTAAATGGTCTCTTCCTGCAGTTTTTAGCATTTGTTTTGATAGTCTACTTCAAAATTGAGCAGTGGCTCCAGATGGAGCCTAAAGTTGGGTAGAGTTTCCCACATCCTGGAAGGAACAAGAAATACTTTCCTGAATGGAGGCAGGATCCAAGCAATGGGGTCCCCCCTTGGCTGTTGGTGCAGGCGTTACACACCGTGTCCCGGCTGCGTTATCAGAGAGTCAGTCATTCAGAGGCCTTGACTGTATCAGGTTGATCCCTGATGACAGCCAGCAGAAACCATTAGAGCAATTTTTATTATTCCCCCCGTTCCTCCTTCCTCCCAGATTTTTATTCCACTGCTTGCAGTTTTGCATTTTCATAAGGCAGGTTTGGGGTTTTCTTGGGTCTCTATGCAGGGTGGGGTTGGTTTTGGGTTTTTTTGTTGTGGGTTTTTTTTTTCTTTCTTTCTTTCTTCTGGTCCGTGTTTTGTGCTGCTTGGCTGCTGAGGGCTGTCCCCCTCTGTTGCTATAGTGACTTCCCACAGGCACACAGCAGCGCTCTTCGGGCACCTGCACCTCCCTTCCTGGCTCCAGCATCCTTCTGCCACGACTGATAAAGATGTTAGAGATTGCCACGATTTTTCAGCAGTTCAATAAAACCTAATGTAGTCTTCCTAGCTAGAGGATTGTAGGAATGGAAGGTAATAAATAAGGAGCTTCTGATCTGGCAACTTCTTGCACCTTGGGAGGATGGAAAGCATTTACTTTATAGAGGTGTAACCAGAGTAGGGGGTGAAGTTGTGGTGAACAAATAGGTACATCCATAGGTCACCAAAAGCAAGGAAAATGCAGTATTGGTTAGAAAGTGCCTTGTGTCAGACCTGTCTCAGGAGACCAGTCCTGGCCTCAGACGATGAGAGAAATTGCAATTTCTCATCTCTTGCCCTCCACATATGGTCTGGAGACACATGGTTGCTTCCTCGATTACCAGCCTGTCCCGGCCGCCCACCTGCCAGCGGGCATGTTAAATGGATGGGAGCGATGCTTGCGGGAAGCGCTTTGTTGCTGGCTTTGATTTTCTGCCCTTGAAATCAAATGCACTGACTTCAAAGTGGGTCAGAGGGAGAGCTGACATTATTGCTGTCCCCAGGAAGGGAGAAGGGGGGGGAAATGGGTGCCAAGTTTTATTGTGTAGGGGCTTAAAAATGAGGCAGCTGTCTGGAAAGCTGGCTGAAAGGCAGGTCGGCAGCCTCCTCGGGAGATGTGCTGCTCTTTTGGTCAAAAGAGTGTGTCCATTTTGCCACCTGTGCAAGGGACAGGGTGACAATGTGCAACCGAAGGGCTGGGCACTGCCAGACCTAAGCCACCGTCGGTCCTCTGTGGGCATCCAAAGCTTTCCCTGCTGCCTGTGTCCACTCCCACTGCAAAGGTGGTGACCTCGGGTTTGGGCAGAAATAAGTAAAGAACAGGCAGGAATAGGGAGAGTTAAATCTAGGCTGCCTCTTCTCTATATTGTTTCTTTACTCCCTTTCTGTTGTTGCCATCCTACAGCTTCTGTGGGAGATGGAAAGGGACTAAAACCAAGTAAGGAGGTGCTGCCTTTGGTTCTTCCCTCACTGCCTCCAGTTCCTCTGTGTGGTCTGGGGTGATGGGAAAACCTCTTTGCCAAGGTCCGGAAGCATGATTTGAGACCAGCTGTGCTTGGCAGTGAAACATAGGCTTTCAGGAGGATCTGCAGATTAATCCTCCGCTTTTCTGAACATCTGTTCCCACAACCAACTCCTTGCATACTGAGAATTTTGAATTTTGTAAAAGGACTTCAATAATCTGGACTGTGATCTCTAGAAGAGTTCATCCCATAGAAAAATCTGCATCCTTCTCTCTGCATGTCCATACACTTTTACCCTCTTTTTTTCTATTTCTGTGGCTATTGCAACCCTGTCTAAATTCTGGAGAACAGTCTGAGTTACTAGGTTTCACTCATGCTAATTAATTTGTGGGACTGGAGCCCAAATCCAATGGATAAATGTGGGAGAACCACCACTGGGATGACTGTCCTTTTTCTGGAACTCCAGAAGAGCATATTCAGCCTTGCTCTCTGCATCGCATTGTTTGTAGCGAAGGAAGACAAGCACGGAGCTCTCTCAACTGCTGCTTTCCCTCATTAGGTTCAAAAAGATGTTGATAGTTGAAAAGGAAAAAAATAGCAAACCTCAGCCAACCTTGCTTTCCTCCAGACACACAGTACACCTGAGGGACACACAGTACACCTGAGGGACTTGTCATCCCAAGGGGCTCTGGACTGCCGGACCCCACCTCGCCTTGCTGGGGTCTGTACGGGACGTTTGCTGATTGGGGTGCAAACGCTTTTCCTTCCATTGAGCGTCTTCCTTCCAGGTTGTCCTTGGCTGGGTGCACCCACAGGATGGGGCTACGTGCAGAGATCCCCAAATGTCATTGTGCACCGTGCCGCAGAGAGAGCAGGGATGGTCTCGGGGGTCCGGCGCGGCTGCTCAGGCAGTGTTGGGGGGTTTCTCTCTGCCAGGCAGCCCCTGTGCAGGTGCTTTGTCAGTGCTGTCGCAGGGAGACCTCAGAGGTAGGCTCATTTTTATTGGTTCCTCAGACTTTAATTTCCCAGGTCAAATTGTGTTTCTGTGTCCCCCCCGTTCCATGCCTGCAGGAAGACAGCAGCGCTTGCATGGAGCGATAAGGATGAAAAAGCAAATGTGGCCCAGTCTCTGCCTTGCCGGAGTGGAGATTGAAGATTGTCAGGCTCTGGTCTAATCTCCTTTCCTCTCCTTCACAGGCAGCTGAACTGGGAATGGCGTCTGCCTATTACACGTATATCTTCACTAATCTGGTAAGATGTTTTTCTCGGCTTTTCTCCCGTGTGCATGTAGACTCATGTTAATGGGAGCTGATCTCCCTGACCCATGGGACCGTTGGGAAGAGCCACGTGCTTGTGTAGTGGTTGATCTGCAGTGGAAGGGGAGGGAGGCAAGGAGGGGTGTCCCACTGCCATCCTGAGCATCAGTCAGCGCAAGTCTTGCCCTGGCCCTGGGGAGGTGAAAGCTGACGGGTGCCCGACAGCACCGGTCGATCCAGTGCAGCTGCCAAAGGCAGGATTTGTAGATATCGCGGCCACAGCCAGTGCGATGAGATGCGCGGGTCCTTGGGAAGCACCAGCAGACGGACAGTTCCTGACCGAGGGTCTCAGGAGGGTTACGCTGGAGGTGTCAGTCCCTGAGCCCGTTCCCCGCGCCGGGAGAACAGCAGGCTGTGCTGGGGCGGGCGTGTGGAGGGCACTGCAGCCCCGGGCTTTGCTGCTGCGCCTCTGAGAGCAGCTGTGTGAGACAAAGGAAGGATGGTGCCATAAACGTGGAGAGGCAGAGCGGGGTGTATCTTCAGCATGGCCCCTGGTGGTTTGGCTTTATAGCTACTAATAACATTAATGGGGGGATCGTGCGGTTAAATCCCCGAGTACTGTGCTAAACAAGGAGTAATGGGCTTAGGCAGCAGCAGGGGGAAACCCAAAATAAACATCAGAGAAACTTCTCTTGCTGCAGCAGCTACAAGGCTCTTGAACAGGCTGCCACGTGGCGTGGGGGAAATGCTACCGCCGGGGAGACCAGATACCTACCTATTAATGCTGGTGCGGGGATGATGGAAACCTGAGCGCGGCAGGATGGGCTGGATGATTAAGTGGAGGTGCCTTCCAACCCCAAATGATACTCATATTCTCTAATTTCTATTAATATTTATGCCAGGGTGTGCGTGTGCCAGGAAAGCCGAGAGTTGAATCACGCTTTGTGTTTGGGTGGGAGACAGACGGGAATGGATGGAGCCAAACGTGTAGGCAGGAGAGCTGGAGTGGAGAGGAGGAGGGGGAAGGAGTGAAATGGAGGGGCTGAAAGCCAGGAGAGCAATTGGGACAGAGAATGGTAAAGGGATAGGGAAAGGAGATGTCAGAAAAGAGAAAAATGTGGAAAAAAAAAAGAAAAATCCACTAGCTTCTTACTTGAACTAGCAGCATTCTTTTTCCTGCTTTGTGCTCGATCCATAGGTCTTAACCTTGCTCGTTATCAGTCCAGCAAGAAGCAGCTTCCCTGCTCCTGTTTATCCCCATACAAATGATTGGCACTGGGCAGGAAAGCAAAAGGAGGGGATGTACCTGGAGGGGATCAGCCAGCGATGGGTGCTGGGGGAAGAGCTGCGCCCTGGGGAGGTGAAGGTCACTCCTTTGAAGGCTGTGGCTGCTGCTTTGTGATTTCTCACCCCCAGTGCCAGCCCCGAGTCAGAATGTAGCTGTGCTGGTGCTGTGGGTAGAGCTGGTAAGGGATACTGGCCATCCCCATCAGACCCTGCTCCCAGCACTAAACCACTCCAGTCATTCCCCAGTCCCAGCAAGTAGTTTTCCTGTTGCCCTCCAGTCCCAACAACTGTTTCTTGTTCCATTTACCTTCCCCGGTCCTGAGAGTTTCTGTACAGCCCATGGACCAGGACTATTAATGAATGGTGCTTGGACAGCAGAAATAACTATAAAAATGAAGCTCACCACCAGACTGGTTTTGAGCATGGGTGTAATTAAGCGTTTGCTTGAGGTCGAGAGGTGAAGTTTGTCTTTGAAACCCATTCATCTAGTGTAATGCAGTTATGGCAAGTGAGGCAGATGAGAGAGGAATTTTGTTGCCATTCACTCTCACAGGATATTAAGCTGTTTACCCAGGCTATTTTGCCACCGCGTCCAAAAGATGAGCCTTGAGCAGAACTAACTGGATTTTTGGCAGGGACTGTTAGAGAAAGGTGACATCGGGCAAAACCTGAGCAGATGGAAGAGATGTTTAAGGAAATTAGTAATATTTAAATGGGGATGAGAGATGGGAGTGAGCAATTTAGACTAATAAATCTGGAGGGATTATCAAGCTCCTAATGAACCCTCTGAGGTTTTGCAATCACTGCCTAATAGAAGAGATAAAATCATGGTGAACTGCTGTCAAGGGGAGCAAGCAAAAAGATGGCTTTAAATGGAGGGAGAACTCATCGGAAGGGGAATAGACAGTCTGGATAGCATTAAGCTGCTTGGAGATGGAAAAATATTTCAGGCAAAAAAAAAAAGGAGAGAAAAGGGGATAAAATGCTGAATTAAACACCTGCCCTGTGGCACTGGAGAGGAATTCTGTTTCTGTCTTCCAGCATTAATTTTATTTAATAAGCACATCCCAGCTGACAGCTAGTTGTGTGTCGCAGCTCCTCTCTCTGCGGAGCGTTACGTGGAGGCAAGTTGCTGCAACTCCCCTGGTGCCAGTCGGCGGGAGAGCGATTGAGGGGTGACGGCTCCTCGGTAGCCAGGCTGATGACCGCAGATAGCGTCAGCGTTGCTCTCCCCACCATTCAGTGGGGAGGCAGAGCGGCACGTGAAAGCAGATGCCAGCCTTTGGCAGGAGATTGTGGGAGCAAGCGAGGAGGAAGTCCTCGGCCCCCATTGCATTTCCATTGGAGCCGAGGCGAGCAGCCTGGTGTAAAAATATCCACAGGCTAATTTACTGCGTGCGAATTCATTATCAGCCTCCTTCAGCCAGCTCAAGGGACCCTTTTCGTCAGCAGCAGCAGCTCAACAAATTTTGCAGGAGTCCTAATGAACCTTCTCAGAACAGAGCAGGTCTGTTGCATTTCAGTTCTCCACGTCTGTCACCTGCACACGGGGTATTCATGGCAACTGAGCACCCTTCTGTCCTCAGTCCTCTTGCAGAAAATCTCACTTTGACCCAAGTTCCTTCATGGCATCTCCACATGGTGAAAAACTCTGGGGCTTTCCCCTTCTAGGAGGGCTGAGATTTCCTGATGATTAATGTCAGACGCTGACCCCATGGCCAGCTGCTCTGCGCCTTCGTTTGTGCGGTGCTGAGATGAGCTCAGCGCTGCCCATTGTCCCTTCCCCACTCCCCAGCAGGGCACGGGGTTGCTGTGCATCCATCCAGCTTGTGACTGCGTAAGGAGGCGATGGTGTGCTCCGTAAAAACAAAAATAATAGTAATAATAGTCATAATAATAGTAATGCCAGTGCATAAATAGAGCATTGCAAGCAGGCTGTTGTGCATTGAAAAAAATGTGCTGGAAATCCTTGAAACCAGCAGCACAGAGCAGGAGGGGTGTTGGATGCCTCCTGTGGTATAATTAATTCTTTTAGCTTCTTAATTCTGTGTAGCTTGTTGTTGTTTTTGTCTTCCTCCACCCCCTGCTTTTTTTGAATGTAACGTATGGACCTCAGGCTTGGTTTAAATTTCAAAACATTTATCAAGGAGATTAGATAGAAATAATTGAAACAATTAAAATTATGACTGTAAGAAGGAAGGTGTAAAGGAGTTTTACTAATGCCTTGAGTCAGATGCTCTATTCATTGGATGCAGTTCTGTTCTCCAACAATATTGTGCGGAGGTGTTGTTACTGATAAAACAGCTGCCGTATTCGATTTCCAGAGACCAGATAAATCAGGTTTGCTTTGGTTTTTTTGTTTCCTGTTTTTTTCTTCTTTGTTTAGTGATTTATAAAGAGATTGGTCTTTCATCTAAGATGAGGTTTTCAAAGCTGAGTTGTCGCTCTGGATGCCCTGTTGGAACTGGAAGGGAAACTAGTGTCCGAGCACCCAATGTCACACGTTTCAGCGGTAGCTTGTCATTATGGTGACATCCTTTGGAAGGAGGGAATGATGGAAAGTAAAGCAGAGGGAGAGGTTAGCTTCTGGCTGGGATGGTGGAACTTAGGTTTGTGAAATTGCCTTCTCTTGGTGAAAAGACCTTTTCTATCTGTGTCTGGTTTTGCAGTGAGCTCCAGCACGGACCATGGTGTTTGGCCCAGCTGCACCACATCTGCCGGCCGCCAGCACCATCGCTGTCCCTTGTGCTCTAACACAAGAGAAGAACACGGACTCTTGTTATACTCTGACAGATTTTACCTTGCAGTCCAGCCAGCCTTCCTGGTTCCCAGTACCTGATGCAAACCTTTTGTAGAGCCCCGATCATTCCCTGGATTTATGGTTCATATTTTCAGTGGCATGTGGTAGCAGGGCAAACAAATCAGGTTTTTGCAAGGATACCAAAGCAATTTCTCCTTATTCTGATTAGCATGAGGAAAGGAGGATTTAGATGAAGCAATAACTGTACCTCCCAGCGTTTTGCTGCCTGCGCTACCTCACCTGTCTTGGGTCTTCTTTATGTGTTGTTTAGAGTCTGTCCTGTGCTTTTTTCCAGTTGTTGAGTAAATCATTCTCTCGGGTACAGGGCAGACCCTCTGCTATGGGAGCAAACTGCTCTCTTTGCCCTCATGGCATCTTGTCCTATTTGTCTTTCAGACTTTCTACCCCTGGTTCTCCAAGAGCTGTGCTTTTCAGGTCCCAACATTACCACTTGACCTCTTTGCTCTTTGAGGATTTGTCACTCTTCAAACCTCAGGCTCCCTGCAGAGAAGCTGAAGTAAATTGCTTTTACTAAGGATGTGGGCAATGTCTTTTCCTAAAGCGCTCTCCTTTGAAGAACAGCCTCCAAAATTTAATAGCTTTCCTTTCATGAGGAAGTTAAAGACCCATCCTTACTAGCATATGGCACATTCTGATGCTTTTGTGATGCATCAACTTTGTAAGAGCAATCAGGTTATACATGGACAGTTTCCCTAAATTGTCCCCAAGTTCATTGAGATCACAGTTCCTCTTTAACTACATGAATGGCCGAATAACAGTGCCTTAGGTAGAGCTCCCACGTCCCCTTGCCTACTCAAAAGGCCACAATTTGTTGCTGTGATGACTTTTTTTTCTTTCAGAGAAATTGATTTTTACATGTGGCCCATTATAAACTTATTGACTCTGTC